TTGGGGTGGGTTATCTGCATTTCAGGGCTGCTCAGTGGGTTTGGGGTGGGTTATCTGGATTTCAGGGCTGCTGAGTAGGGCTATGGAAGGCTGGGTGGGTTTGGGGTGGGTTATTTGGATTTCAGGGCTGCTCAGGGGGTTTGGGGTGGGTTATTTGGATTTCAGGGCTGGGTGGGTTTGGGGTGGGTTATCTGCATTTCAGGGCTGCTCAGTGGGTTTGGGGTGGGTTATTTGGATTTCAGGGCTGCTCAGTGGGTTTGGGGTGGGTTATCTGGATTTCAGGGCTGCTCAGTGGGTTTGGGGTGGGTTATTTGGATTTCAGGGCTGCTCAGTGGGGTTGGGGTGGGTTATCTGCATTTCAGGGCTGCTCAGTGGGTTTGGGGTGGGTTATCTGGATTTCAGGGCTGCTCAGTGGGGTTGGGGTGGGTTATCTGCATTCAGGGCTGCTGGAGCCCACTCACATGGAGCTGCTGATCTGCTGCACTTGCTGCGGCGTCAGCGCGAAGGCAAAGCAGGTTTCTCGAAACCTCTGGCTGTTATCTGAGGCTGCAAGAGAGCAGAGAGCATCAAAAAGCAGCCAGGACAAGCAGGAAATGATTCCATCCAGTCAGAACACACTTTTTTTGTAAACTCCAGCAGCATCAGACACATCTGGCTCTGAAGAGCTTTTGAGGAAGTTGCCATTGGAAGCCTCCTGTAAATAAAAATACAATGAACAAACTTTATGTGCCTATAAAGCGCACATTAAAACGGGGCTGGAGATAACAGCAGAGCTGAGGCAAATCAAGGCTTTTTATCGCTGTAATTTCATGTCAAACGTGCTCTGATATAAATTAAAATACATCTGAGGATTTCTCATCAATCTCTTTTTTATTTCCCTCCACGCACCGGATCGGGCTCGGCCCGTCAGAGTTCACAGAGGGGCTGAACACAACACGTGGGACAGCTCACATTTCACTGGGATGCTTTTTGGACTTCCATGCACCAAACAGATCCAGAATCAGCCAAGAACTGGTGAGATCTGCAGCCATAAAATCTGATTTTAAAGCCTTCCCACTGTGTGCCACTCCAGAACCAAACAGTGCTCAGGAGTGAAATGCTCCTGCTGGAAACCAATGTTAAATATCCCTAAAATAGTGGGTTTAGCTAAAACACAGCCCTTCCCAGGGCCACTGCAGCAATGAAAGAGGTTTTTAAATCATAAAGTGAAAGAAAGCATCATCTCCCCAGAGAATGGTTCCACACACTCACCAACACACAGCCAATGAAAAGCCGCCTGTGAGTTGCACTTCAATCCCATTATTCTTCATGATTTTCTAAGTTCTGAATAAACTTGTAAGTTCTGAATCAATATTATATAATACAATTATTCTGAATAAATCAGTGTAATTATCAGAGCACTAAACACTGGATAAATTTCCCAGTTTTTGGTTTACTATAATGCATTCTTGACTCATCCCTGAGTGACAGCTGAGTGAGTATTTCAGGGTGAGAATTGAGATTTTGTTCCAAGCAGCGTGTGGTGGGCTGGAACCAACAATAGCAAAGACACTGAGTGTAAATATTACAGCAGGGACCTCCCAAAATTCCATTTTTTTATCTTTCCTGCATCACACAGCTCCAAAATCCTTCACTGATCCCAAGATTTGCTGCTGTGCACGAGCAGGAACAGGGACATGAAGCTGCTGCTTGGAATCCTTGAGAAAGAATTAAGTTTTATAAATAACTCAGCTTCTGAAATGCATACATTTCCTGCATCCAATGTCTGCAGGAAACAGACACAATGTATACAATTAACAATGAAAATCTGCTTTCACATTTGCTCTTCCATAGAATCTGACACCTATTTTTAGCTATAAATGGCAAGATCACAATTACAAACTCTAATTAACAAAAGCTGAATTAGCCAAGCTCATGCACTGCACAGAAATGAGGGAATTCCAGTTGTTATTTCCTGCTTTTCCATGGCTTTTTCTGCTGGGTTGGTTTTTCTCCCAGGTATTATTTGCTTTAGCCTGGAAATTGTCAATTTTGGCTTTATTACAAAAATTCAGGAAGGTTTTTGGGAACCTTTGGTGTGAACTGCAGCACTTCACTAATTAAGAACTGCTGACTATTTAACGAATGCCACCTTCATTTAAAGCTCAATTATCCAGAGAAGCCAACCAGCAGCTACCAAAATTCCTTGGATTTCCCAAGTTTTCCCTTTCCCACCTTTTTGCAGTAGCTCTAATTTAGGGATTCCATCAGGGAAATGGGCAAAAGGGAGGAAAACAAAGTTTGGACCAAAGGTTCTGAAATTCAATCCTTTTTCCTCTGCTCATGCTGGTAACAGATTTATTTTTACTAACAGTGATGTGAAAAGTGGGGTTTGAACTTCCATATTCACAGAATCACTGAGTTGTTAAGGTTGGAAAAGACCTCAAAATTCACCAGTTTCAACTCCTGACTGAAGAGCACCTTGGCAATTAAATCCAAATTGGATTTTGAGCCCTGCCAGGGATGGTGATTCCACACTTCCCTGGGAAAGCTGTTCCAACACTTAACCACTCTCCCAGGAAAGGAATATTTCCTAACATCCAACTGTTGTATTGGTCAGATTAAAGCATTTCTACTTTAATTTGGGAGAAAATGGGGAAGGAGATCCCTGAGTGCTGCCATGGGAGCTTTCCCTGCCCCAGCTCCCCTCAGGAGCTGTGCCAGGACACAAAACCTCAGAAAGGCCCTGCCCGAACCAAAACCTGAATTCAAAAAGGCCTCTGAGGTTTTTCTTGAGATTTGTGGGATTGTTTTGTGTTTTCAGTGTGTTTGTGCAGNCCCACCTGTTATGGTTTGGGCATCTTATGAAAATGCTTTCACTCTGGTGTTTGCTGTGAGATGTGACCAGGAAAAAGCAAAACAGGCTCTAGCTTAAACATAAAGAAAACTTCATTACTTAAACTACAGGAAAAATAGGAAAAACTGTAAGAAAAAAAAACTGAAAACTTTACAACAAACACTTTCATCCTCACTACTACTAAAATCTCTCTGCCAATATCAAACTCCGAGCATCCATTGGTTTGACCACAGCATCTCAGAATTCTCAACTTCTTCCTGGTCAAACCACCCAAGGAAACTCTCAAGGCTGAACTATAAAAATTGAGCTCTTTCTCCCCAAAATGTGCAGCAGGGACAGCCTGGCCCTTCCTGCCTTTGTCAGCAACCACCAGGCCACAGGTGGGAGCCCCTGCAATCCAGAGCACAGCAGAACAATCATAAATATGCAACATCCTCCAGGCCTTAAGGAGGGTCCCGTCAGGAAAAGCTCTTTTTTGGCTCCTGCAAGGTTGTGGGAATGGAGGCAGAAGCAGAGGAGTGAAGGAAGCAGGCAGCAGCAGGTTTAAATTTGATTTTGCTGCACATACAAGAGGATTGAGGATTTCTTCATCAAAGAAAGCTCTGTTTGCACAGGGTATCAGCGCTCAGAAAGGCCAGGCTGGAACTGCAGCAGCAAACAGCACAAATCAGCCAACAAACCAATGCTGGAAATGCCCAAACAGGCTGGGCACAGCTGCTGAGGGCACCCCAGAGATCTGGGACCCCTAAATCCAACCTGCATCCCTGATTTCCCCAGGAATGCATTCCCTGCCGCAGCCAGCAGGTGTTATTTATTTACCTCTGCAGATTTCCTTGTCAATTCAAAGGCTGCAAACCTATTTACAGCAACATTCTGACCCTTGAGCCGGCCTTCTCAGCCTCTACCATTCTGTGATTGTGCCATTTCCAACTCAGCTCCTGCACCTTTACGAAGCTGGCAGGGAGGAAATCAAAAACTGCAGCACCTGAGGGGGAAGTTCTGGGCAGGACCTGCCACCAAAATCCTTCTGTACCAGCCCATGGAAGCACAGAACTTGGAATTCCACAGATAATTAACCCAAGGAATATTCCCCTGGCAAGCAGTTATTCTAGTTTTTATCTATTATATTGGTAAAACCTGACTGTCCCATATTCAGTGAATTTTGGGAAGTTCAGTGATGGTGTTCCATACCTGAACACCAATAAATGCCCAAATTCACTTTTAGGAAGTTCAGTGCTGCTGTTCCATACCTGAACACCAATAAATGCCCAAATTCAGTGAATTTTAGGAAGCTCAGTGCTGCTGTTCCATACCTGAACACCAATAAATCCCCAAATTCAGTGAATTTTAGGAAGTTCAGTGATGCTGTTCCATACCTGAACACGAATAAATGCCCAAATTCAGTTTTAGGAAGCTCAGTGATGCTGTTTCATACCTGAATACAAATAAATCCCCAAATTCAGTTTTAGGAAGTTCAGTGATGCTGTTTCCTAAAAAAAGAGTTTCCTAAATCCAGCGTCCTCTCAGAACCACAGCTTCTAATCAAACCAAAACAACTGCAAACA